GGATGTGACGCTCAGCACGTGCGCTCAGCTTCTTTGGACGACCTACCTGAGGCCTGTTCTGAGTGGACCCTGCTCTTTTAAAATGCTGGATGACCTTAGCCACTGTGCTGCAGCTCAGTTTCAGGGTGTTGGCAATCTTCTTGTAGCCTTGGCCATCTTTATGTAGTGCAACAATACGTTTTTTAAGATCCTCAGAAAATTCTTTGCCATGTGGTGCCATGTTGGAACTTTCAGTGACCAGTAAGAGAGAGTGTTAGAGCTGCACTACAAATTTGAATACACCTGCTCCCCATGAACACATGGGCGTAGTTACACTAATGAGTCACGTGACATTTTGAGGGAAAATGAAAAGCAGTACTCAATTTAGACATTTAGGGGTGTAGTTTCTTAGGGGTGTACTCACTTTTGTTGCCAGGGATTTAGCTTTTAATGGCTATATTTTCAGGGAAAAGAAACTAACTCTGTTATATATGCTGCAGACAGACTACGTTTCATTGTGTCAAAAGGTTATTTTTTCAGTGCTGTCCCATGAAGAGATATATTTAAATATTTGAAGAAATGTGAGTGGTGTACTCACTTTTGTGATACACTGTATATATATAACATTAGTGGTCAATACACACACACACACACACACACACACACACACACACACACACACACATATATATATATATATATATATATATATTAAAAAAAAAACAGACCACTTTAAGGTACCATTATAATAATTTATTTCACCAGAGTCCTCTTAAAGGACGCCCGATCATCAGATAGCACTTCCAAAAATGAAATGAAACAAAAAACTTCATAACTTAACTATATATAAAATTCCCAAGAGGATAGAACCCAAGGCCCAGAACAGAGTAAGAATATAATATAAAAGGCTCAAACACTAATATTCCATGGTTATAGTTTATTACATTGGAATTGTAATTACCATCCAATTCATCAGACCTACATCGTGATTACGCTTCCAATGTAATAAATTATAACCATGGAATATTAGTGTTTGAGCATTTTATATTAAGTATATATGTATATATATATTATAAATTAATTGATTTAAAATATGGTTTTTTTCGCTACACAGTTCTAACCATGTTTCAAAAATGGAAGCTAAAAACCACGAATTTAATTTTGTAATTAAATTAAAGACATTAGTTCCATTTCATCCTCAAGCGAATTTTGGACTCCAAATATTTATAATATTAATGCTCTGTAAATTTACATTGAGCACTATTTTGTAAAAATAAATATATATATAAGAACACCGGATTATATATCTTGCTGTTCTTTCTTTATATATATATTATTACTGAGAGAAAAAACAAGAACATCTATTCCATACCTGAAGATGTCTGTAGGAACAGACGAAAGCTTGTAGTAAAAATAAAAAGTAATGCAACAGAAATTTATAGAAACAAGGATCTTTTCATTCATAACAAGTTCGGGGTTTTTTGTATATTATTTGAATTGTTTGCGACGATGGATTTCTCGCCAATTAAATCATTAACCTTTGCATTTGTTTTTGTATGAATAATTCATGAATTTGTAAATTGATTGCACGTTTATCGAAATTAATATATATATATATATATATATATATATATATATATATATATATATATATATATATATATATAAATTTAATAGGTCCTTATCTGGCTCATGACTACAGTCACTTTCTCACAGACATGCTGTGGCTTCCCTCAGCCTTTTCTACACATATTTTCATGGCAACTGCTCTGACGCGCTACTTCCAATGGTTCCCAAACTGCATAAATTTGCTACAAAATTGGCATCTCAGTTTCACCCTTTCATGTGGCCGTCTCTTCTACTCCAACAGCTTCATATCTCGCACTTCCCGTCTGTGGAACTCCCTTCCTCTTACTTGCTTCCCTGATAGCTATAATCTTCAATTATTCAAATGCAATGTCAATCGACATATCAAGATGCCTCGATCTAATTCCCCATCCTTCTCTTCCTCCTCTTCTTCTATCACCCCCCTCTTTACTCTTGCTCTCAATCCTCTGTAACCCCTTGTGTGTTAGTGGCACTCCCGCCTTGCTTGGGGTGAAATGCGTAAAAAAAAGAAGTCTGGCTCGAGTCATATATTTCCAAAAATGGCTCGGTCATGACTATCAAGGTAATGACATCAATTCTTATCAGTTTATAATACATAACATTGATGTAATCATGTCGTTTGTTTGTGAATTTCTCTTCTGTTTCATTTCCCCGGAAGTGTTTTTAATTTTCTGTTTCAAATCCTGTTTCTTTTTTTTTTCTTTTTTTTTCTGATAAAACCATTTATTCGCAGACAATCGACAAAAGCACGCTTTTTCATATAATGTCGCCTGAACAGAATTATCGTTGAAATTTTCGACAAAGAGATCTTCAAATGTCTGAATTGTGTCTCTTTTTTTTTATTTTTTTTTATTTTTATATCCAATATGTCGCGAGCCGTAGTTCGTACTTTCTTGGCCTTTTTGTTTCCTCGCTGTTTTGTGTTTTCTTGTTAAATTATATTTTTTTTTCTTTAAAAGAATCTTGTATTACAATCTTAAATTAGTCCTTATATTGAAGCAAAAGTTCTCGTTTTTATGCAGCAAGCGGTCTGGCAATTTTTGCAATAATAAATTAGTCTATCTCTCATTGTCTGTCTCTCTCGCAGACACATAGCTACACAGGCATCCACACGCATGCGCACATATTCTATCCATCTCTTTCTTGTCTAACCGTAGCTCTAGATGTAACAGACAATATAAGAACAATATTCAATTTACTTTTTTTTCCTCTCTTTTACTTATCTACTGTAGAGGAGTATTTTTTTCATATACAGATATCAAAAAAAAAAAATTAAACTCAAATATTTCAGCGAATCCAATGAAGAGAAAATGATTTCACTGTTATCTAGCAACTCAAATTGCTTCTAAAATCCATAATTATTAACCAAAATATGGCCGGTTACATAGGATATACACCACATTTGAGTGCTGTATGAGAATCGGCTTTTGCTCAACTTTTCAGCTTCTAGGGTCTTCCAAAATGTTCCTTGAGTTTATGTTATAGCGTTATATTTGGTGCGAAAAGAATTCACCTTCGGGTGACCACGCAGCGTTAAATTCATTTCATTTTTAATCCGCACCAAAAGTTTCATACGTCATTCTATCTATCTATCTATCTATCTATCTATCTATCTATCTATCTAAGTCTTTTCATATCTATCTATCTATCTATCTATCTATCTATCTATCTATCTATCTATCTATCTATCTATCTAAGTCTATTCATATCTATCAATCTATGTATCTTAATCTATTCATATCTATCTATCTATCTATCTATCTATCTATCTATCTATCTTAGTCTATTCATATCTATCTATCAATCTATCTATCAATCTATCTTAGTCTATTCATCTATCTATCTATCTATCGATCGATCGATCTAAGTCTTTTCATATCTATCTATCGATCGATCGATCTAAGTCTTTTCATATCTATCTATCTATCTATCTATCTATCTATCTATCTATCTATCTATCTTAGTCTATTCATATCTATCTATCTATCTATCTATCTATCTATCTATCTATCTATCTATCTTAGTCTATTCATATCTATCTATCAATCTAAACTGCGTCTAGAGATTATACGCAAAAGAGGTATTGTCAAATATTTTATGTAAAATTCATAGATATGTGTCATCCAATGAAATAATTTGTACTATTATGTATAGCGAGTAAGCATGAAAGCAATTAAGTCCCAATTTTCAATTTCAGATTGATATTTAGTATTTTTTCAGTAATTATAGCAGTTTGTTGTGTCAAGAGATTATTTGCAAGAACTAGAATTTAGTATTATGGCTCGTTAAAAAGAACTAAGAATGAATGAAAAGAACTATATAATCAAAGAAATTAGCAAAGGAAAGTCTTCGCTTCAAATTTCTAAGGATTTGAAAAGGGATCATCGAACAATCAAGAAAATATGTCGAATGGGAATTCAACCAAGGAAAATAAAGTCTCAGGCTGAATTCAGGAATTTAACAAAGCGAGATATATCACATATCCGAAGAAAATTAATAAGAAACTCAAATGCGTCAATTGCGTTCATATTTGAGGCCGCTGGAGCACCTATGGTGTCAAGGGAAACAAGGTGTAAAGCATTAAGGAAGTTTGCTGATGTAAAAAATCAAATAAAGAAAGCCATTTTAACAAAAAAAAAAACATAAGGAAAGAAGATTGCAGTGGGCAAAAAATAAATGAAAACTGATTTCAGTAAAGTGCTTTTTACAGACGAATCAAGGATCACCCTCGATGGGCCGGATGGATGGGCTCGAGGATGGGTTTGCAAGCAACAGGACGCAAGAAAATTTTTTAAACGCCAACAAGGCGGCGGTGGGATCATGATATGGGCTGGGATTATTCGTAAAGAGCTTGTGGGTCCCTTTAAACTGAAAGACGGGGTAAATTGAATTCCAAAAGTTACTGTGATTTTCTAGAGCAATATTTCTTTGAATGGCTTGATAATCAGTCTTTAGCCAAGCGTAGATCTATGATCTTTATGCAAGACAACGCACCAAGTCATGCATCTATGTTTACTAAATCCTGGTTGAAAGAAAAGGGATTTGTTGAAGATTCTCTTATGGACTGGCCTTCAAATAGCTATGACTTGAATCCCATTGAGAACCTGTGGAGCATCCTCAAGAGAGATATTTATTCTAATGGAAGGCAATTCAACAGAAAATGTGATCTCTGGGAGGCAGTTAAAGTTGCTGCAAACAACTTACCAGCCGCTAAAATTGCAAATCTAACATCAGATGTTGACAATAGGCTGCTAAGAGTTATTGAAAAGAAAGGAGCATTTGTGCAATAAATTTTAGGAGGTTATATTTTGTTAATATATCTTTTATTTTTAAAATAAAATCTTTTTTTATGTTTTTCCTTTAAGAAATTGACGAATTTGTTCTAAAATCTTTTCATATTATTTTTTACATTAGTTTTACAAGGTATAATAATGTAAAAGTATCAAAATAAATAGTTGCAAATAAACTACTGACAGTCAAATTAGTCTGTTTTGTTAACTTAGTAAATTTTTTTCCAACCAAAAACAATAGTTTTCTCTATCACTATATATCGAAGTTAATAATATTGAGTAGAATCTAAACAACATCATAATAGGACTTTTAACATTAAAGACGCAACTCTTTATACCAATTCATAACTTGCATATAATATCTAGACGCAGTTTATTTACCAATTTATCTTAGTCTATTCATATCTATCTATCTATCTATCTATCTATCTATCTATCTATCTATCTATCTATCTATCTTAGTGTATTCATATCTATCTATCTTAGTCTGTACATATCTATCTATCTTAGTGTATTCATATCTATCTATCTATCTATCTTAGTCTATACATATCTATCTATCTATCTATCTATCTATCTATCTATCTATCTATCTTAGTCTATACATATCTATCTATATATCTTAGTCCATTCATATCTATCTATCTATCTTAGTCTATACATATCTATCTTAGTCCATTCATATCTATCTATCTATCTATCGATCTATCTATCTATCTATCTTAGTCTATTCATATCTATCTATCTATCTATCTATCTATCTATCTATCTATCTATCTATCTATCTATCTAAGTCTTTTCATATGTATCTATTTATCTATCTTAGTCAATTCATATCTATCAATCTATCTAAGTCTTTTCATATCTATCTATCTATCTATCTATCTATCTGGCTTACGGTCTTATAGCGCTGAAACACCGGCTTGCGTACGATCGCCGCAGTTAATCAACGCCGGGGAATACCAGGTGCTGTTAACTTGGATGTGCGGGTGGTGTAATCTTAAACGACTCGGAATTGTTAATCGGCGAACAGAGTTCCAATTCTAGTCGGGTTCGTTATATTCGCTTACGGACACATATCCTTCGGAAATGTGTGAATCCACCCAGTCGTGGGTTAATCAGTATTACTACATCTGGCTTTAATCCAGACCAAATTCTTATAATCTAAAAACATTTTCTGGCTTCAAATAAACCGCAGCGGTCTGACAGGCTGTAGAAAATGAATCAATCATATCTATCAATTTCTCTCTCTTTCTCTCTCTCTCAATATATATATATATATATATATATATATATATATATATATATATATATATATATATATCTTAGTATATAACGTCTTTCATATGTTTGCTGTGTTTTGTTAACCCATCGCTGTGTTACTGTAAACGTAAAACATATCTCTCCCCCCTCTCTCTCTCTCTATATATATATATATATATATATATATTAGTCTATTCAACGGTCTATCTTAGTCTATCTATCGGTCTATCTCAGTCTATTCATATGTATGTATCTATCTCAGTCTATTTCATATCTATCTATTTAAATTTATTCATATATATCTTACTCTATTCATATCTGGTTCGAAATATATATATATATATATATATATATATATATATATATATTAGCCTATTCAACTGTCTATTTTAGTCTATCTCTCTTAGTATATTCATATGTATATATGTATGTAGCTCTCTATCTCAGTCTATTCATATCTATTCAGCTATCTAGCTAGCTTTATCTATCTATCTATCTATCTATCTATCTATCTATCTATCTATCTATCTATCTATCTTAGTCTGAAATTTACCCGGTGGGGGGCTGCTTGACCCCGTCACGCCTATATGCTTTCATCGATGAGGGCTTCCACATATGTGAGCCAACTGGTCCTGTATGGCTTCATTTTACCTAACTTCTTCCAGAAATTCTAGGACAGCCAATTTCTCAGCCGTTACTCCCAATTCTCAGGGAGATTTGTCCTTCATTTGAGTCAACCTCACGAGGCTTCTCATTGCCTCCACCGACGTCCCTTCGTCTGCATATTCGCTTATCTATCAATATAAATATAACACTGCGGTTCTAACAGTAAAGAAAAAAAGAAATGTAAACAAAACTCTTTTTAAGCATTTTAAAAGAAAAGAGAAAAGAAAAGGCAGTCGTAATATTTTTCGTTTCTTGAACGAAGGGATGATGATCAGATAATTATTTTATTGTCTTATGAGCCGTAGGTATAGACTGTCGGTTGATTAGTGGATAAATTCAAAATTCGTTGCTGGGTGTGGAGATGACATGGTGTTAGCTTACGTATATACATTAAAATCATGAAAATCGATAGCATGACAAGAACGGTCTGAAAATTAACGAAAAAATTTTTTTTCATCACAAATGTATATTTCATTATTGAGAAGAAACACTAAAGTATTTTTTGAGTAATTTTTGAATTTTTTTACTCATTCTTAGCATGTCCGAAATTTTAGTTTAAAATCTTGTTTACAAAATAACGACTAAAAGCTCGATATCAGCCATATTTTTTAAAATTTTAAAACAAAGTTAAATTCTTCGTTTAAAATTCGTTTAAAAATTAATTATACGTATTTCAAAATTTATTCGAAGAAATTTAGAAAATTTGAAGTTTATTTAAAATATTTTGAAAGAAACTTTTACTTACTTTCTTCGTAGAAAAATGTTTTTTTAAGATAAAAGAGCCGGTCTTAACGTCGCCGTCCATTGACAGAGTGCTGAGTGACGACGTCTATAAATTATTGACAGCTGACGTGAGATTCGAGTTCTCATACGGAAGGACAGAATGGACATATCATTTTTTTTAAGCGGACCTACTTAAGTAGTACCTTGTAATATTTAAAGTAAAATAACTTTCGCCATTACAATTTTTTTCTTTAAGTACTGTACGAAAACCATAAGTTTGTTGATGGTATCTGAAGAAATTATAAATACTATTAAAAAAAATTAAGATACAAGTGCTGCACTGCTGTTTGAGGGCCCATATAGACCCCTCTAATTAAAGTCAATTCAAATTTGCTATTATACAAAAATTTCTATCCCCAGTAAAAATAATCAAAAGCTCGTAACGTCGCCACGATGTGAGGTGTTATTAAAACACAAGAAAAGGAAATATCGGTTTGATATTGTGGATTTAAAATGAGGAATAATTTAGTAATAATTAGTTATTAATAATGAAGTGGATTGATTGGCTCTGAAGAAAGAGCAATGAAATTTTAAGTGATCCGGTGTTACGGAAATGATACCAATGCACATCGAAGGGAAAATTATCCGAATTCATATTGATAGTTAACGGTGCCAATTGTAACTAAATTGTAAGGAGGATGGGATTGATTAAAATAAGCCATCCAGTAGAATAATAGTAGGGGCTTTTTGGAAAAAATAGAAGTGTGGATAGATCCTCATCGGGGAGTGGGGTACAGAACAATTATTTTATGGTAATGTCATTGTTCTGCACAAAGGCCCGTGTATATCCGGCAGTGTTATCGAGAAGACCCGACCTTTGGAGGAAAGCGCCTCGTGCCTGTCGGGATTGGTTTGCTTTGTTTTACGGCATGTCAACCTAAATGGGTTTTTTAATGCCGACAACATGTTTAGGAGAGATTCGTATGAATAGGATATTTATTCTTTGGTTTAGATTGGTTTGGTTTATTTTGTTTTACGGCATATCAACCTGAATGGGTTATTTAATGCCAACAACATTTTTAGGATAGATTCGTATGAATAGAATATGTATTCTTTGGTTTAGATTGGTTTGGTTTATTTTGTTTTACGGCATATCAACCTCAATGGGTTATTTAATGCCGACAACATTTTTAGGATAGATTCGTATGAATAGAATATGTATTCTTTGGTTTAGATTGGTTTGATTTATTTTGTTTTACGGCATATCAACCTGAATGGGTTATTTAATGCCGACAACATTTTTAGGATAGATTTGTATGAATAGAATATGTATTCTTTGGTTTGCCTCAAGGAGATACATAAAATTGTTCTGACAAGTACAGCCCACACTTTACGAAGGGCTTTATCTATGTAATTTTTTTTTGTCAGTGGAAAGTGTCATGATGCCATTTCTAACCTTAGGTCCCTGGGCGGGACCCGGAAAGAAATGTGTAAACGCCAGAAATCAAAGAAAATAACAACAACAATCATAATAATAATGATAATAATAATAATGATAATAATAATAATGATAATAATAATAATAATGATAATAATAATTATGCTGATAATAATGATAAGGTTAATAATAATAATAATAATAATAATGGGACTACACAATACACACTAACAGAACAATCAAGGCCAACCGCACAGATATTGTTATTAAAAACCATAAACAAAAACGGTGTCTCCTTATTGATATGGCAGTCCCTGCTGACTGCAGTGTTTCTTTGAAGATCTTCAAAAACCTATCAAAATACAAAGACTTTGAAATCTCAAACATTTGGCACATGGGAACATCAACAATTCCTGTTGTAGTTGGAGCCCTCGGATTGGTTGGAAAATATTCCAGTAGACTAATTGAAGGGATTCCTGGAAGCCCATGCCTTAAAGAAATACACGAATGCAGCCCACACTTTATGAAGGGATTTATCCATGTAAAATATTTTCTTTGTTACTGGAAAATGTCATGATGCCATTTCTAACCTTAGGTATCTGGGCGGGACCCTGAACGAAATGTCTACACACCAGAACTCAAAGGAAATAATAATAATAATAATGATATTAATAATAATAATAATAATAATAATAATAATAATGGTGCGGACTGTATCAAAAGCAAAGGTAAATTACTATGGTCTTCAGTATGAAGGCACTCTTTGCCACACATAAAGTGCAGCAAAAGGATTTGGGAACTGAAGAAACAAGTGCACCAGCGAAAACTGCACAATCTCAAAATGCTTTGCGATTATTACCATGAAGAATACGAGAAAGAAAATTCCCAATGAGAAAATCTGAAACATATTTTATTCAATGTCACGTCAAACTGAGGTAATTAGTCAAGCCAAAGGCAGCAATACTAATTGCTAGATCCTTATATTAACGCTTTGAACTTTCTGTAATAATAAAAACCATTTTTTACAAGGAAAAGAAAAAAATAATAAATATTTTTTTTTTAATGAAAGAAAACATCTGAAAAGGGACATTTTTGCTAGCGGCTCAGTAATTTTGCATGGCCTTTTTTTCAGTCTCACTATTGCTCAAGGGCCTCTATCATGCAGAATAGACGAAAAAAATGCAGTAACTTGTTTTCTGGCCCTCAAAGTTCATAACATGCATTGAGGAAAGCATACTGTTAATCACTCTCCATTTGGGTTTAAAATTGATGTAATTAAATTGGCAGTAATTAATTTACCAAGGTTGTCCAAAAGTTTCATCCGTCATTCTATCTATCTATATATCTATCTATCTATCTTAGTCTATTCAAATCTATCGATCTATCTAAGTCTTTTCATTATCTATCTATCTATCTATCTATCTATCTCTCTCTCTATCTATCTATCTATCTATCTATCTATCTATCTATCTATCTATCTTAGTCAATTCATATCTATCTATCTTTCTTAGTCCATTCATATCTATCTATCGATCGATCGATCGATCTAAGTCTTTTCATATCTATCTATCTATCTATCTTAGTCAATTCATATCTATCTATCTATCTTTCTTAGTCCATTCATGTCTATCTATCGATCGATCGATCGATCTAAGTCTTTTCATATCTATCTATCTATCTATCTATCTATCTATCTATCTAAGACCTAATATGTATGTATGTATGTATGTATCTATCTATCTATCTATCTATCTCTCTATCTATCTATCTATCTCTCTATCTATCTATCTATCTATCTATCTTAGTCAATTCATATCTATCTATCTATATTTCTTAGTCCATTCATATCTATCTATCTATCTATCGATCGATCTAAGTCTTTTCATATCTATCTATCTATCTTAGTCAATTCATATCTATCTATCTATCTATCTATCTATCTATCTATCTATCTATCTGTCCTAGTGTATTCATATCTATCTATCTATCTATCTATCTATCTATCTATCTATCTATCTATCTATCTATCTAAGTCAATTCATATCTATCTATCTATCTGGCTTACGGCCGCCGCAGTTAATCAACGCCGGGGAATACCAGGTGCTGTTAACTTGGATGTGCGGGTGGTGTAATCTATAACGACTCAGAATTGTTAATCGGCGTACCGAGTTCCAATTCCAGTCGGGTTCGTTATATTCGCTTACGGACACATAACCTTCGGAAATGTGTGAATCCACCCAGTCGTTGGTTAATCAGTATTACTACGTCTGGCTTTAAATAAACCGGAGCAGTCTGATATGCCGTAGAAAATGAATCTATCTATCTATCTATCTATCTATCTATCTATCTATATCTATCTATCTATCTATCTATCTCTCTCTCTCTCTCTCTCTCTCTCTCTCTCTATATATATATATATATATATATATATATATATATATATAGTCTATTCAACTGCTTATCTTTTCATATGTATGCATGTATCCATCTAGCTATCTCAGCCTTTTCATATCTATCTACCTATTTCGGTATATTTTATCTATCTATCTATCTATCTATCTTAGACTATTAATGGTGTATTTATGTATGTATCTATCTATCTCAGTCTATTCATATCTATCTATCTATCTATCTATCTATCTATCTATCTTAGACTATTAATGGTGTATTTATGTATGTATCTATCTATCTCAGTCTATTCATATCTATCTATCTATCTATCTATCTATCTATCTATCTATCTTAGACTATTAATGGTGTATTTATGTATGTATCTATCTATCTCAGTCTATTCATATCTATCTATCTATCTATCTATCTATCTATCTATCTATCTATATATCTATCTTAGACTATTAATGATGTATTTATGTATGTATCTATCTTTCTCAGTCTATTCATATCTATCTATCTATCTATCTATCTATCTATCTATCTATCTATCTTAGACTATTAATGGTGTATTTATGTATGTATCTATCTATCTCAGTCTATTCATATCTATCTATCTATCTATCTATCTATCTATCTATCTATCTATCTATCTATCTATCTATCTTAGACTATTAATGGTGTATTTATGTATGTATCTATCTATCTCAGTCTATTCATATCTATCTATCTATCTATCTATCTATCTATCTATCTATCTATCTATCTATCTATCTATCTATCTAAGACTATTAATGGTGTATTTATGTATGTATCTATCTATCTCAGTCTATTCATATCTATCTATCTATCTATCTATCTATCTATCTATCTATCTATCTATCTTAGACTATTAATGGTGTATTTATGTATGTATCTATCTATCTCAGTCTATTCATATCTATCTATCTATCTATCTATCTATCTATCTATCTATCTATCTATCTTAGACTATTAATGGTGTATTTATGTATGTATCTATCTATCTCAGTCTATTCATATCTATCTATCTATCTATCTATCTAAGACTATTAATGATGTATTTATGTATGTATCTATCTATCTCAGTCTATTCATATCTATCTATCTATCTATCTATCTATCTATCTATCTTAGACTATTAATGGTGTATTTATGTATGTATCTATCTATCTCAGTCTATTCATATCTATCTATCTATCTATCTATCTATCTATCTATCTATCTTAGACTATTAATGGTGTATTTATGTATGTATCTATCTATCTCAGTCTATTCATATCTATCTATCTATCTATCTATCTATCTATCTATCTATCTATATATCTATCTTAGACTATTAATGATGTATTTATGTATGTATCTATCTTTCTCAGTCTATTCATATCTATCTATCTATATATCTATCTATCTATCTATCTATCTATCTTAGACTATTAATGGTGTATTTATGTATGTATCTATCTATCTCAGTCTATTCATATCTATCTATCTATCTATCTATCTATCTATCTATCTATCTATCTATCTATCTATCTTAGACTATTAATGGTGTATTTATGTATGTATCTATCTATCTCAGTCTATTCATATCTATCTATCTATCTATCTATCTATCTATCTATCTATCTATCTATCTATCTAAGACTATTAATGGTGTATTTATGTATGTATCTATCTATCTCAGTCTATTCATATCTATCTATCTATCTATCTATCTATCTATCTATCTATCTATCTATCTATCTTAGACTATTAATGGTGTATTTATGTATGTATCTATCTATCTCAGTCTATTCATATCTATCTATCTATCTATCTATCTATCTATCTATCTTCTATCTATCTTAGACTATTAATGGTGTGTTTATGTATGTATCTATCTATCTCAGTCTATTCATATCTATCTCTCTATCTATCTATCTAAGACTATTAATGATGTATTTATGTATGTATCTATCTATCTCAGTCTATTCATATCTATCTATCTATCTATCTATCTATCTATCTTAGACTATTAATGGTGTATTTATGTATGTATCTATCTATCTCAGTCTATTCATATCTATCTATCTATCTATCTATCTATCTATCTATCTATCTTAGACTATTAATGGTGTATTTATGTATGTATCTATCTATCTCAGTCTATTCATATCTATCTATCTATCTATCTATCTATCTATCTATCTATCTATCTATCTTAGACTATTAATGATGTATTTATGTATGTATCTATCTTTCTCAGTCTATTCATATCTATCTCTATCTATCTATCTATCTATCTATCTATCTATCTATCTCTTAGACTATTAATGATGTATTTATGTATGTATCTATCTATCTCAGTCTATTCATATCATCTATCTATCCATCTATCTATCTATCTATCTATCTATCTATCTATCTATCTATCTATCTTAGACTATTAATGGTGTATTTATGTATGTATCTATCTATCTCAGTCTATTCATATCTATCTATCTATCTATCTATCTATCTATCTATCTATCTATCTTAGACTATTAATGGTGTATTTATGTATGTATCTATCTATCTCAGTCTATTCATATCTATCTATCTATCTATCTATCTATCTATCTATCTATCTAAGACTATTAATGATGTATTTATGTATGTATCTATCTATCTCAGTCTATTCATATCTATCTATCTATCTATCTATCTATCTATCTATCTATCTATCTATCTATCTATCTATCTTAGACTATTAATGATGTATTTATGTATGTATCTATCTATCTCAGTCTATTCATATCTATCTATCTATCTATCTATCTATCTATCTATCTATCTATCTATCTATCTTAGACTATTAATGGTGTATTTATGTATGTATCTATCTATCTCAGTCTATTCATATCTATCTATCTATCTATCTATCTATCTAAGACTATTAATGATGTATTTATGTATGTATCTATCTCATCTCAGTCTATTCATCTATCTATCTATCTATCTATCTATCTATCTATCTATCTATCTATCTATCTTAGACTATTAATGGTGTATTTATGTATGTATCTATCTATCTCAGTCTATTCATATCTGTCTATCTATCTATCTATCTATCTATCTATCTAAGACTATTAATGATGTATTTGTGTATGTATCTATCTATCTCAGTCTATTCATATCTATCTATCTATCTATCTATCTATCTATCTATCTATCTATCATCTATCTATCTATCTTAGACTATTAATGGTGTATTTATGTATGTATCTATCTATCTCAGTCTATTCATATCTATCTATCTATCTATCTATCTATCTATATCTATCTATCTATCTATCTATCTATCTTAGACTATTAATGGTGTATTTATGTATGTATCTATCTATCTCAGTCTATTCATATCTATCTATCTATCTATCTATCTATCTATCTTAGACTATTAATGATGTATTTATGTATGTATCTATCTATCTCAGTCTATTCATATCTATCTATCTATCTATCTATCTATCTATCTATCTATCTATCTATCTTAGACTATTAATGATGTATTTATGTATGTATCTATCTATCTCAGTCTATTCATATCTATCTATCTATCTATCTATCTATCTATCTATCTATCTATCTATCTATCTATCTTAGACTATTAATGGTGTATTTATGTATGTATCTATCTATCTCAGTCTATTCATATCTATCTATCTATCTATCTATCTATCTATCTATCTTAGACTATTAATGGTGTATTTATGTATGTATCTATCTATCTTAGTCTATTCATATCTATCTATCTATCTATCTATCTATCTATCTATCTATCTATCTATCTATCTTAGACTATTAATGGTGTATTTATGTATGTATCTATCTATCTCAGTCTATTCATATCTATCTATCTATCTATCTATCTATCTATCTATCTATCTATCTATCTATCTAAGACTATTAATGATGTATTTATGTATGTATCTATCTATCTCAGTCTATTCATATCTATCTATCTATCTATCTATCTATCTATCTATCTATCTATCTATCTATCTAAGACCTAATATGTATGTATGTATGTATGTATGTATCTATCTATCTATCTCTCTATCTCTCTATCTATCTATCTATCTATCTATCTATCTATCTCTCTATCTATCTATCAAGTGCCTAACTAAATAGAAGAAATCCCGCTTATTGTTGCATTTGCTTCTTTTGTTGTCTGCTTCATTGAATTGAAGAATGTGCTTGGGGGTTGGTAATTTTGATGGAATCTACGTATAAATCTTTGCAAAACGTATTTATACCAGACATGGTTTTATCTAGACAATATATTTTTTTCATTGTCGTTTGATGCGAGCATGATTGATCTTTTACTGGACTAGTATACGTCAGGCGACATAAAAAAAAGTATACAATTTCACAAAGAAATACTCCTTTGAAACTTATTCTCTAGAAAGTCAACACATTCAAGAAAAAGAAACGACTATTTGTCGTCTGCTGTATTGTACAGATACCTTGTCTAAAACTTTCTACCGAATGACAACTTTGTAGAAGACACATAGCTTTTGTTCCGATGATCTAAGATTGTCAGTGTGATGGTTATCTTATTTTAGCTCAGCTAATAAGAAATGGATATATCTCGAACAATTGCTAATACCGTCTCCATTAATTTGGATTCCGTGTTCAGCTAAGATAAGTAAATATCTACAGAGTGGGTCATGTGTCCACTTTGTCCAAATAACAGCTTCATGTTTTTGGCACCGGTCGTTGAGATTTTTTTGGGCTATCAAAAGACAGCTCTACTTGCAGTATTTTTAGATTGACCACAAGGAAGTGGGAAGAAAATACGCAAAGATCCGTGTGAATAAATAATGTGAGAAGATCGAAAGAAGCATCACTATCTATCTATCTATCTATCTATCTATCTATCTATCTATAAAGGTGGAAAAAAATGGGAAAACTGTATTATTAGCTGACGCGTTTTGTCCAGTGTGGTTTCATCGAGGTAAAAACGAATTGAATTTATTAAAAACAAAGTAACTATTAACAACAAAACAAAATGTCCTTAGCAACTAGAAGAATTTAGAAAACGCTATTCTGTTCAAATTGTAAACTGAAAATTACGTCAAGTACTCTCTCTCTTTCTATCTATCCATAAATGTAAAAAACAATAGGAACACCGTAATATTAGCTGACGCGTTTTGTCCAGTGTGGTTTTTTCAAGGCAAAATTAAATAGATTTATTAAAAACAAAGTAACTATTAACAACAAAACAAAATGTCCTTAGCAGCTAGAAGAATTTAGAAAACGCTATTGTGTTCAAATTGTAAACTGAAAATTACGTCAAGTACTCTCTCTCTTTCTATCTATCTATCTATCTATCTATCTATGTAAAACAAATTCTCACAATTAACCAGCAGAAAAAGACAATATCTATAAAGGAATAAGACAAAATGAAAACTAGTTTTAGCCGGGGCGTTTATCCAATGTGGACTTTTTCAAGGCAAAAACCGAAATGAATTTATTAAAACAAATTATCTATACACAGCAAGCAAAATGTCGTTAGCAACTAGAAGAATTTAGAAACGCTATTGTATATTCCTACGTTCAACTGAAAAATTACGTCATTTACTTTGTTTGAAGAGAATATTTTCACGTACAGAAATATTGTTTGTTTTGTATTGACGGATTAAACCGTTTTCTTTTGATTTCTTGATATATTTAATGTGTAGAGATTCCATTAGGAAAGGTGAGATTGGGAAAAAATCTGGGCGTAGATTAATATTTGGATAATATTCAATGGCGGCACACTCGAGGATTTTTTTTCTGAGTGAATTATTTTCTTTTTTTATGAGTATATCATTTATAAAATTTATTTCTATGTATCACTAGGGCATTTGTTAAATTATTATTCATGAGGTCTCTATCTATCTATCTCTACACACACACACACACACACATATATATATATATATTTCATTTTTTTTAATGTACATATATATATATATATATATATATATATATATATATATATATATATATTTAATGTATATATATATATAGTTAAATTCCCAGATGAATTCTGTGGACAAGACAGATTGGTATAAATAATCTGTGAATTTAACTATATTGTCGACATGGAAAAACAAAATCCCTTACTCTAAAGGTTATTTACATTAACCAGAAAAAAAGGCTTAGACACAAGCGTCTATCTTTTTAAATATGGATTTTTTAATGTAACTATAACAACAAAAACATTTCGATTTCATTTTTGCCTTGAAAAAGTCGGAAGACGACACGCGTCAGCAAAATGTAAGATTTTTTTCCAATGGTCATTTTATATCATATATATATATATATATATATATATATATATATATATATATATATATCATAGAATATGACAGACAAAGGTTCTTTGATTTAGTTTTTTATAGAATTTCTCATATTTTTTATAGAATTTCTAATATGATTAGTCTAGTCGTAGGTAGTTTCAAAGCTTCAGCCACAATAAATTTGTTTCGAAGCTCTTATAATATATCACCATTCTTGGTAGATTTTATATTGCCACAGTATGGGTGAGTCAGGGACAAAGGTGATGGAGAGAAAAAGAAGAAAAAAAAAGAATAAAGATGAATTCGGCTAGAATGAAAAACAAAATTTTCTCAAAAATATTCTTTCAAAAATTTTGAAACGACGTCTCTTATTCCATGTGTAGACGTGACGACATCAACAAAGACCCGACCAATTAAATCCTAAACAATGAAACGCTTCAGAAAGAAAGCTTTCCAGTTTGTCATATTTTTCTAAATACTGTTTGTTGATATATATATATATATATATATATATATATATATATATATATATATATATATATATTATGAAATGTTTATACATTCTTTTTATAGATACAACTATTTAAGTAAATGCTTTGTTTATAATAAACAGTATTAAATAACATTTACCGGCGTGAATGTCCGAGAAATTTTCATAGAAAATATTCGTCCTCCGAGAGTAATCGAACCTGTATCCTATACGGAACCACCATTTGGCTTGACTTGCCTTTACCGATTTGGCCACAAAATGTATAAACTCATAAATGTCTTAAAATAATTGTCGGACTTTATCCATTTCATAATGTGTGACGTCATTTCTTTACATTTGATACACCATGAGCAGATATGAATGTACGTGAGAGAATCATGGCAGATTGTAGTTTAAAGACAGTAAAATCGACTTTGCTCACCGAACGCTCCTCTGGCCAAATCGGTTAAAGGCACGTCAGGCTATATGACGGTTCCGTATAGGATACAGGTTCGATTCCTGTCGGAGGACAAATATTTAATGTGAAAATTTCTTGGACATTCAGGCCGGTAAATGTTGTTTAATACTGTTTATTTTAAACAGAGCATTTACTTAAATATTTGTATCTATAAAAAGAATGTATGAAAACATAAAAATGTCTTCTTTTTATTTATTTTTTTATTTATATATATATATATATATATATATATATAGTAAAGTTAATGATATACAATGGGGAAATCACTTCGCTAACAAACTTTTAAAGATGCATTAACCTACTAATCACTCGATGAATGTTATGATCTTTCTTTTCTTAAAATTATAAGCTGAATAAGGTCTTTCTTTAAAAATTCTGTTAGCGAAGGTATTTTACCATTTTATATGATTAACTTTACCAATTTACTTTTTGTATGAATGATTCATTGTAATACATATACACACACACACACACACACACATATATATATATATATATATATATCAAACTATATCTATGTATCTGTACATGCATATGCACGCACACACACACACACACACACACACACACACACACACACACATATATATATATATATATATATATATATATATATATATATATATATAGTGCTTATTTGGTCAGCAATCCCTCGGTTATGTTTATGTCATGAAAATGTCTGACTGGATATTGGCGCAGTTAAGTTTTTATTCTAAGTTTTCTTGTGTTCTAATAATTTTCCTTTTTCTCCGGATATGAATTATGCAGAAATGGACCAAATGTTGTGTATATTTAGTTAAAACTATTAAATATTTACATTTTTTAGCTAAACCGAACGTCTGTTAATATTTTGGCGCGTCGACGAAACGCGCCATCTTTCCTTGTATTCAGAAAACGTCTTTTTTTTTTTATAGGCACTTCAGTTTACGATTCCCTATTGAGAAAGATGCCTTACATAGCCTTCGCTACTTGTCTTGTATTGCAAGAGCCTACAGTAATTTGATTCTTTCTTTTCAACGAAAAGAAAAAAAAAATGTATAGAAAACAATTATTCAATCAAAGATGTTCGAAAGAATTCTTCCTGCCAAAATAAACCTTACATCAAATTGAGGATTGCTTCATTGCGTTAAATTTTAGTTACGGCAAAACAGTATTTTTTGGATATTTCTGGAAGATACAACCTCGCAACCCGTGTTTTGAACGTAAGGTCTCCTCGGGCAAGTGGAAGTATCTACAAGTAAAAAAAAAAAAAACCTACTCCAATATACCAGGACACCGGAAGTGACAGGGTAAAATTATAAGCATTGGTGAGGGGACAGAGTTAAAAAAAAAAAAAAAAGAGGGAGATTTTTCAGTTGTGCTTCGTATT